AAGAAAGAAAGAAAGAAAGAAAGAAAGAAAGAAAGAAAGAAAGAAAGAGAAAGAAAAAGAACCATGACAATTCATCCAACTTTCAGAAGGAGAGAACGAACCTAAGGTTACTGGAGATGGGGAGAGGGAGAGAAGAGGTTTGGGGAGGGACAGGTCAGGTAAAGGGCATAAAGAGAAATTATGACTTGTAATAAAGAATATTCTAATAAGAAGAAGAAAAGAGAAAGAGTTTTTTTTGTCAGTGTAACAGCCTCTAAAACTAGATACCTAAATAAACTGAAATTAGAACCCGACTTGCAAATCACTCCATCACTAAACATTAAATCAAGATACTTTTCTTAAAAAAGCACATATAATAACACTGTTCTCATTGTATTACTATATTCAAAATTAATAACAAAATAATGTTTTAGTGAAAATTTATGAACCATTAATAAATATATTAGAATACTTAAAAATTTTTTCTTAAAAGTTTCTCCTGCAAAAGAACTTTGAATTTGAGCATCAGAGAAACGAATACATGTCACCATAGATTTCAGACACAAACTGATGGAGAGAGGAAAGGAACGTCAGTTATAAGTACATTAGAGAGAGTAGAACGATTAAAGTATTTCATTTCTTGCCCTCAATAATTATCGAGTCTGAGAGATTTCAAACTGTAGAACCACAACATGGAATGTAATCATTTGGCTAGAGAGACTTAACAAAGATTTCACGTGATGTGGCTAAGTTTCAGATAAACATATTGCCTCAAAAACTAGGTCTACTGATTCAAGTCCCTTGGTATTTCCAATGTACTATTTTCCTACTTATTTGTCCAGTATTATCAAATATATTTCCTATATCAAGGCCTCTTCTCACTTGTAGTTTTGGTAGCCTTACAGCGCGTTGAGCATTATACTGTAAAGTCAAAATAATAATGGCCATTTACTTAACACCGTCCCTTTGGGCACAAACCGCATAAAAGCAGGTATATTTGTGTATTTTACTGATGGCTTTGTCACTGGTGCAGAGAACAGTACCTGACATTAAGTAAAGAATGAATTAATCATCATCATGATCCTGTTTGCCCTTATAATCTCTCAGCTATACAAGCTTCCAGCTTCCATATCGCGCTCAGAGCCACCACTTACCCGGTATTCGTCAGCAGCCCCTTCAGTGGAACAGTGTCTGTGAGCCTCGTGCCCCT